CTAGCTTCTTTTTTTTTTTTCTTTTTGAGTCCGAGTCTCACTCTGTTGCCCAGGCTGGAGTGTAGTGGCATGCTCATGGCCACCGCAGTCAAGACCTGCTGGGCTCAGGTGATCCTTCTACCTCAGCCTTCCAAGTAGCTGGAACCACAGGCATGCACCACCATGCCCAGCTGATTTTTTGATTTATTGTAGAAATGAGGCCTTGCCATGTTGTCCGGGTTGGTCTCGAACCCGTGGACTCAGACAATCCTCTTGCCTCTGCCTTTGAAGTGTTGGGATTACAGGCGTGAGCCACTGTGTCTGGCAGAATCCCTCTTTCTTACTAACCAAAGTCTACAGAAGGAAAGAAGAGCCAGGCCAAGTGTTTGAAACCTGTGTTTGCCAGCCTGTGGTGATGTTATATGCAAAAGAGGAACCAGATCCCAGGATGGAGAGGACATCTAGGAAAGGACATGTTTTGTTTAGCTGCTAGGTGTTGCGGTTACGTCAGGAAAACTCCCAGCCGACCCATTCTAGCTCCATTCCAGCTTTATCTTGTGGGATTTGAGCCAAACATCCCGAATCCTGGATATACAATGCTGTGGTTTTTGAAGGCTGCACTCTCTTGCCTTCAGAGTTGGGGCACCGGGCACACTGTTACACTTTGTTTTCAAATAAAAATAGTTATACTATGTTTTTGTATTATTTCTGGTCAGAAAAATAGTTACCTACTCACTGCAGAAAATTATTTGATACAAGAAACACCTTAAGACAGTATAACTCACCTGAAATGCTGTTGAACATGCTTTCAGTAATGCATTCTGGGTGCATAGCATACCCTTCATACAAAATTTTAAATATATTTACATGTTTCTTTTTTTGTTTGTTTTTTGAGTCAGAGTCTCACTGTCACCCAGGCTGGAGTGCAGTGGCACACCCATGGCCACCTCAGTCTCGCTTGACCTGCTGGGCTCAGGTGATCCTTCTGGTTCAGCTTTCCAAGTAGCTGGAACTACAGGTATGCACCACCATATATGGCTAATTTTTTTTTTTTTTGATTTGTTGTAAAGAAAAGGTCTCACCAAGTTGCTCAAGCTGGTCTTGAACCCGTTGGCTCAGGCAATCCTCTCACCTTAGCTTCCCAAAGTGCTGGGATTACAGGTGTGAACCACCACACCTGGCTGATATTTACATGTTTCTTATACCCTCTGTTTTCTTTTTTTCTTTCCTTTTTTAAAATATTGAGTTGGAGTATCCTCTGAAGCCCAGGCTGGAGTGCAGTAGCCCAATCATAGCTCATTGCAAGGCTCCACCTCCAGGGCTCAGGCAATCCTCTCGCCTTGGCCTCCTGCATAGCTGGGACTACAGGTGCACCACCATGTCTGATGATTTATTTTATTTTATTTTTTGTAGAGAGGGGGATCTTGCTGTGTTGCCCAGGCTGGTCTTAAACACTTGGGTTCAAACAGTCCTCCTGTCTCGGCCTCTCAAAGTACTGGGATTACAGGCATAAGCCACCGTGCCTGGCCCTCTGTTTTCTTTAAAACTTAACATGCTATGGAGGTTGTCCTATATCGATGACTGCAAGTCAAAGTCATCACTTGCCTGGCCAGCTAATCTTTCTGCATCAGTCTCTCACAGAGCCCCTAACCGTGGCTGAATTCATGTGCTCCTGGGGTCGGATGGCTTATGATGAGAGGGAACGTCAGCTGGGACAGCAAGATGAAGATACCCAAGCAGAGCCGGCATCTTTTCTGCTCCTAGTCCTCATTTTCCCTATCCCCTTGCCTTCTCAGCTCCTAGGAACTCAGAAGCTGCCTTCCCTTCCAGAGCTGCCTCCCACGGTGGGACCAGGTGCTTCTCTCTGGCCCCACCTAGCTTCTTGGCAATGCTTATTTGGTCATGCAAAAAATAAATCCAGCTCTTCACCTCCCAAAAGAACCTCTTGGCTACTGTCTGTGGCCTACTGGGACCCAATTTTCCATCTATGCGAGGATCTTCATTTTTTCTAGTCCCTAGTCCTTCTTATTACTCTTGGCAAAACTTTTTATTATAACCCTGGTGTGAGGCTTGTGGCTTCAAAGTCAGCATTTCCCAAATGAGGTTTTCTCAGCCACCCGACCCTAGAGCTCAGAGCTTCCCTCTGTCCTGTCCAGTGGCCACTTTTCTGTAGTCGTCTGTTTTCCTTCCTCGGTTCTGACTTCTAGGCTCAGACAGTCGAGTATTCCTGGCTGTGACTTCCTCTTGACCTGGGCACCAAGGGCGTAGGATGGAGAAGATGCGGACCCTGGAGGAACCTGCAGGCGGGGGGCCACCCGCGCAAGGGAAAGCCTGCGGGAGTCCTTGGAAAGGAACAGGAAAACAAATGCAAAACAACAATAATACTTTCCTCTTGCACTCCAGGGCCCTTCACATGCGTTATTATCCACAGTACCGACCACAAACGTGATCTGGAAAATGTGGAGTGGTGGAGTGACTTGGAGTCAGGCAGGCATCTCCCCAAAGGCATCTGTCTCCGTCTGGCCTGCAGTCCTTGAGAGGTCATCTCACTCAGTTTCATTCATTTGTTCCTCATCAGTCGCATACTGCGTTTCTACTACGTGCCAGGCACTGCATCTTTCCCTTGTTACGTACAGAACTCACGATCACAAGCTGTCTGTCTGTTCCGGTTATTCCCAGTGCTTGGCTCAATCCCACCCACTGCAGGTTCCACTCACTTCCTCTTGTTCTATTCTTGGTGGAAAGGGGGGCAGTTTCACCACTCACCAGATAACGGCCCTTCGGAGGCTGTCATTAGGCAACCTTGGGGCTGCTATATTTACCTTGTAATAAATCCTGGCTTTTCTGCTCTGCTGTATTGGGGCTGGCTGAGGAGGTAGATGGGGACTCCTCAGAGACTCCCCGTACCAGGCAGTGAGGGAAGGGTACACACTGCAGTGCTCTGTGTACAGCCCAGAGCCAGCTGGAGAATAATTGCCCAATTGAGTGTGAAAAGCTAATCCAGGTGGGACAGGTGCTGGGGTGTCTGGCTGGTAATGGCAGATCGGAGAGAGCTTTCCATATACTGTCCAGTGTTTAGTGACCTGGAATGCATGGTCCACTTCTCTGTCTACTCTGTCTCCTTGATGGCTGCTGACTCGCAGACGTGGGGAGACCCAATGTGTCTGGCTGTTCCCCCAAGGTAACACAGCTTGGAGAGATGTGGGGGGTAGGCTTCTCTGGAGAGAGGCCTGAATCAGCTGTAGCATAAGCCTGGAGTCGTCCAGTCGTCCTTGCCAACGCTGCCTCCTGGAGAAAGATGTCTGTTCTTGGGCTGAGCTGAGGTAGGCCTGACCTTTGGGAATGGAGGCTGTATCAGTCAGGGTTCTTGGTTATACACAACAGAGCTGGAGCTCTAAGTGGAAGGGAACGTGTTAGAAGGGCTTTGGGGCACTCACAGACTCGGCTCCAATGCTGGGAAACCAGGATCAAAAGGAAGCTCTTCCATCTGAACCAAGGCCAAAATCACAGCCTAGGACTGGCCTGGCAAGCACCCTGGATGCACTGCTGCACCCCAGCACTGCCAGCTCTGCACATAGGGTGCTCTGCGGGTATCCTGGCTGCCACTACCGCCTTGGTCAGAAAGTTTTTCTTGTTCTGCTTCTTGCATCACTAGCTCCCCAGTCTTCGTCAGCTCAGGTGATCACGCTGGCTAAGCCTAGGTCCCTTGGCCAGGATGGGACGGCAAATATCTGGTGTTTTCAGCCTCTGTAGCTGGAGATGAGCCCTGCCTCCCACAACTCACTCGATGGGGATTGCCACAACGGGGGTAGTTGTGGGTTGAAAATGGCTCACGCACACTGAAGGGGTCCTGGGTCCTGGGAGAGACAGAGCCTCGTAGTGGGTGTTATGAGCTGTCTGCCTGATTATAGCTGGTAATCACTCACCATTCATCCACTGCCTAAAGCATCTTAGGCTTCAGCCAGCAGTGGGTGAGGTGCTTTTCCGGCCTTTCTTTCCCGTGGTCTCCACCATAAGCTTGTGAGATTGCAGAGTCGTGAAGCAGGTCAAAATAGTAGTGTTGTCTTGTGCTTGGGCTTATGGTCCAGGCAGAGAGGACACTATACACCTCTGGGGGCAGGGGGGGACAAACCCAATCGCCTTTAAGGGGTCATGCTTGCAGGAGACAAGCCAGGCAGGCAATGAGGAGAAACGGTTGCTTCTACCATCCCGGCTTCCTTCCTCCTTCCTTTGATACTGTGTCTGGCTTGGCATTCTTCAGTTTCAGGGACTACAGAAACGACTCCCCCTTTTCAAAGCTTTATTTTGTTTTTAACTGACACATAATCATTGTGCATATGTATGGAGTACAGTGTGATATTTAGATACATGTATACATCATGTGATGACCAAATCACCTCAAACATTTATCATTTATTTGTGGTGAGAACATTCAAAATCCTCTCATCTGTTTTGAAATATACAATGTGTTAGTGTTAACTGTCGTCACACTTCTGTGCAGGTGAACACAGAACGTATTCCTCCTACCTAATTCTTTTTTTGTTTGTTTATTTGAGTTGGAGTCTCACTCTGTCGCCCAGGTTGGAGTGCAGTGGCAAGCTCATGGCCACCCCAGTATTGACCTGCTGGGCTCCGGCAATCCTTCCGCCTCAGCCTTCCAAGTAGCCGGAACTACAGACAAGCCCTACCATGCCCAGCTAATTTTTTAATTTATTGTAGAGACGAGGTCTCGCCAAGTTGCCCGGACTGGTCTTGAACCCATGGGCTCAGGCCACCCACCTACGTCGGCCTCCCAAAGTGCTGGGATTACAGACCGAACCACTGAGCCCGGCCCCCGCCTACCTAATTCTGAATTTGTGCCTGCTGACTGACCTCTCCCCAGGGTTTACGAGGGCGCTGTCCTTAAGTGATTGTTACACATGCCCACCTCTTCTCTGCAGCACGGGCTGGAGGAGTGTTGACTGCCCAGGGTCTGGATCCACTCAGCACTGACCTCCCAAACTTTCTGCCTCTTCCCGCAGCCGCTAAGCCCAACTCGCATCCTGAGCTCTACTTCCACCACTTCCAACAGGTCAAGGAACAGGACTCACTATCGGACCAAAGCTGTGAGCTCCGAGGTGGATGAAAGCCTCTTCGGAGGCATCAAGGTAACCCTCAACACCCCCCTCTAGGTAGATGCCACCTAAGGCAGTGGCCTAGAAGTGCTGCTCAGGACAGAATGTACTCAGGGTCACCTGGTGGTCATTGGTAATTCTCAATCTGAAGACCAAGGGTGGTTCTGAGACCCAAGCTGCAGGGTTTTGGGTTTCCAGCGGGGCCTGTGTGAACAGGGGCATGTGGCTTCTCCCACCCCTGAAATCCCTCACGCCCTCCCAGCATTAAAAGGCGGTTGTCACATCAGAGGATCACAATAGTTGCTTGGCAAGTGCTCTGTGATGGGGACATTGGAGGGCCAGCGGACCAAGCTTGCAGGCAAGAGCAACCTCTTTCCCCCTCCATCCAGGAATGATAGCAGTAGCGTGCAACACTAAACCATCTTCCTTTCCAGTTGCTCAGCAAAAACAATTGCTTAGCTTTGGGAGATGACCAAGTGGCATCCAGACTAAGAGGTTGGCATTTCCTTGAGTCTAGAAAAGGAGACCCAGAGAATTGCTTTGAATAATTTGGTACATATGAAGTTTAGTAGGAGAGAAGAAAGAGAGGGAAGGAGAGAGAAAATGAGACCTGGAGAGAAGGGCAGTGAGAGATTAAGAGAAAGGGAAAAGAGAAGAGAGACACCAGTGTGACCTGAATCCCTCTGGCAGTGGGGTGGGCTGGAAGAAGTGTTGATGTCTTTCTCTGCTCCTCACCGTCCTCCTTGGAAATAGAAGATTTTCTGGGGGGTTCTAGATGCTTCTTTCTCCATAGAGAAGACCCTCACTCTGTTTTTTTCCTTTTTTTTTTTTTCGAGTCTCACTCTGTCATCCAGGTTGGAGTGCAGTGGCACACTCACGGCCACTGCAGCCTCGACCTGCTGGGCTCAAGCGATCCTTCCACCTCAGGCTTCCAAGTAGCTGGAACCACAGACGTGTGCCACCACACCCACTAATTTTTTGATTTATTATAGAGATGAGGTCTCACCAAGCTGCCCAGGCTGGTCTTGAACCCTTGGGTTCAGGCAGTCCTCTCACCTCTGCCTCCCAAAGTGCTGGGATTATAGGTGTGAACCACCGCTCCCGGCTTGACCCTCACTCTGTAGTAGTTTTCCTGTTGATAAGGGAAAGAATCAACTGAATGAAGTTTCACCTACAGACATCATATTTTCTTTCGGGGCCCATAGGGAATCAAAGCAAAGAGAGTTGAAAATAGCCGAGTTCCTCAGGAATAGCCGTGCTGGCTGGCAGAAGGGGACAATCAGAAAAATGCTTGTCCCTGGGCCGGTTTCTTTGACCTTATCTGTGGGTGAGAGTCCTGGGAGTCTGTCATCTGGCAGTAGGGGGCAGAAGTGGCCTGTGGCATGACTGACTTGTGCCCGCTTGGAAGTGGAGGTGGGCACCAGGTGGCAGCAGCACTCACGGGACTGTCTGTGCCAAATGACATTCTTAGGAAGGCAAGGCCATCTCCCTGCCTCCCGCCAGGATCACAGGTACTGCATTGACAACACATGAGATTCTCTCCCAGCTTTAGAAATTTCCCGAAACTTTCATTTTCTTGTTATCCAACTCCTTCAGGATCAGATAATTAAAAAAAAAAAAATCATACAGGCCGGGCACAGTGGCTCAATGCCATAATCCCAGCACTTTGGGAGGCCTAGGTGAAGGGACTGCCTGAGCCCACGGGTTTGAGAACAGCCTGGGCAACTTGACGAGACCTCATCTCTACAATAACAATTAAAAAATTAGCTGGGCGTGGTAGCGTGTGCCTGTAATCCCAGCTACTTGGAAGGCTGAGGTGGAAGAATTGTCTGAGTCCAGCAAGTTGACGCTGCGGTGGCCGTGAGTGTGTCACTGCACTCCAGTCTGGGTGGCGGAGTGAGACTCCAATAAAAAAAAAAAAAATTATACAACTAATCTGTATTCTTCTTATTGAATTCATTTGTTTTTTTTTGAGTTGGAGTCTCACTCGGTCGCCCAGACTGGAGTGCAGTGGCCGGCCACTGCAGCCTCGCCTGCTGGGCTC